CTACTGCTGCTACGACTACTACTACTGCTACTACTACTACTACTACTACTACTACTACCACTACCACTACCACTACCACAACAACAACAACAACTACTACTACTACTACTACTAGTACTACTGCTGCTACTACTGCTACTACTACTTGGGTTCGACAAGCCGCTGTGGAGAATAGTTTCTGATGCTGTTCGCACTGTCAAAAGATTTTGACCTGTGAGTTAAAGTGCATGTTGCCAGCTAGACTGTGAAGGTCGCAGGTCCTGCAAAGTTCGGACATAGTTAATCAATGGCCTGAGCCTGATTGTTGATTTTTCCCCGGAGGTGCTCATCTCATAACTGGGTTTGTGTTCTGGTGTTTGGTGTCGTTCTGCTAGAGGTGTCAGATCTCTGGAACTCTCGTAGTTAGTCAATACCCCTCAGTGCTGACATCGTCGTGCCAGGTGGGTGACAAAAAAACTGTTGCAGCAACAACTACTACTACTTCGGTACTAATTTGAGAGTACTCTTACCAGTACTGAAGCTCCCTCGGCACATCGGGTGACGGCGTGCCGAAGGAATTCGGACGTTCATGTCCCTGCCTCAAACCAGCAACACTCATGCCGAAATACTCCGCGATAGCACAGTAAGCGCAGACAGTTTTCGCAAGCTTCCAAAGAGCGACACTCCCTGCATGCCCTTGCTGGGGTAAATTGGGTGTTTAGCACCCATGCTAAGTCGTTAAGTCCTCTGTGAATGATCTTGATGTTTGCATGGCCAATGGCTTGGACTTGCACGGTGTTGTAGGTTTGACATGCACGAAGTTCACTACCAAGAACATTGCACATCACGGCACAATGGATCTCGTGAGGCCGCGAGCTGAACCTTCGCCTGAGCCGTGAGGTTCTGGACTCAAGCCGTCGCACCACGTTGCAGCACAGCTGGGCTTGTCCGTACTGTCACACTCACGACATGCTGCAGTGCAGCAGTGGCAGCAGCGACAGGGCATGTTTGCGTCCCCCGAGCCTTAGGTGCAGGAACTGCGCAGACTGAATGCAGAGGCGAACGATAAGGTCATGGCTCTTGAGGAGGACTGCTGACTTCGCAAATTCTGCAGATTCCTTCTCTACGGTGCCTGAACTTGGCAGTCATGCTCGGGACAAGGAGCTTACAACACAACGAAACCTTCCAGTCGCTCAAACAGATGATGTTCAGCCGGTACTTCCTCTGACTTCCTCGCATCTGCTCGAGGTTGTTGAGGTCGTGGAGCCCTCTAGCTTCAGCATCATTGACGAGCGAGATGTTACACTTATAATGAGTGTAGTACAGATTAGCTTCCCCGTGAACACTTGAGGCCACCCCCTGGCTTGGCTGGTCTTGAACCCGTGGCCATGTCGCAGACCTATGCCCCGATTGAGGACCATACCATGCAGCTATGAGAAGAGCAACTGGGGCTGTATGCTTGAAGGGTGCTTAGTTGGTGTAGGAGAGAGCTGGGTCAGCTAGCTGCTGGAGACTGCGACTGAACCCATGTCTCGGGATTTCGAGGTCTGGGTTCAGTGGCTTTACTCTGCGAGGAGCCGGAGCTTTTCTGGGGCTGTGAACAGATGCAGATCTACTCCGCTTCACTCATGCTCGCACACCGTGAGCCTTGGCAGTCAGACTTGTTCTGGTTGTGATTCTCAGCTTCCGACTTGACCGCTAGCACGAGAGCCGGGGCAGAGCTTGCCGGAAGAAGTCAGAGGTGCATTTCCACAGCGGCAGGATGAACGAACAAGAAAAGGTCGATTTGTGGTTGGGGGCATGGGTGGTGAGGGGGAGGGCAGTGCTATTACGTGGTCCCATGGAGCCAGATCAAGAATGCCTTCCGCCTCGGCGGATTTATTTGTCCCACTGAAGATCAACAAAACGGAGGAAACCCAAAATTTCCATTCCTTTACCCTGCCTACTGTGCGGCACTGAGGATCTGGCTTTGACAGCCGATCTGGGTCCCCCAGGTCTTGAGCACCCTGCCATGGACGGCCTGAGAGCAGAGGTGAGTTGATGCAACAGTTTCCATTTTTGTTTTTGTGCTTCTAAATCAAACGGGATCCCAATGTCTGGTATGCTGGGGAGCTTGCAACAATGTCTAGTCTGCATCCGTCTGTGCAGCTTTTTCCGGGAAATGAACCGGGATTAAGCTTCTTACGCAGAATAAGAGCAAAGGTCACACTATCGGATTAGTTCTAAGTCCTAAGTGCCGGTCGCGTGGACCGCGCCCTTCATCATTATGCTCTTGCCGCAGCTGGGTGGTAATCATCATTGCCACGTAACTATCGTTCTTGCAAACTCTTCCCCCTGCTGGTTAGCCCCGTGTTTTGGTTTCATATTGTCGCTCATCTGCAGGAGGTGCCAGATGTTATTTCGCGGAAGATTTGGCGGCCACGGAAACTTCAGGCTGCACGGCTTCACCGGAAGCGGCAGAACAAACGACAGCCCAAAGCGGCAGCTGCTTTACCACAGATATCCTAATGAGTCTGACGGTAGCACGTTCCTCCCCAATGTGCTGTCTGACGCTCTTGTGATGACAAGCGTTGTCAGCGCGGTTGTTGCAAGAGTGAGAGTAGGCTGTCTGGCTGGACGGGAGTTACAGCATCTATCCGATTTCATCGCTGCAAAAGGGTAGTTTCGCGAAATGCTCAGGCCCAAGGCCCTAATATGCTGACTGGTGGGAACCTTGCTGTTCCAAAAGCCCCGTGGACCGTCTGGCGTGCGCAGCCCAATCCGTTTCCTTCTTTTCCATTTTTGCAGCGCTGCTTGCAGGACGGCTGTGTGCTTGCAGACGCAGGATGACGCAGGGACAAGGTGAATGGAATCAGTATGTACGAATCGAATCGAGGGTGCCTTGCCGTCGCATTACTAGGCAGCTTCGACCTGCGTACTTCCTTGCCGTCTGAGTGCAGCACAGCGCCACGTCAGCCTTCAGGCTTGACCACAGCATGCAGTTAGCCCGAAAAAGCTGGCTGCATTTCGAAAGAAAGCGACGTGGCGGTGGCACGCGGCTGTCCTTCGCAGAGCTTCCCAGGGAGCGAAGCTCCGGATCTTGCGACAATTCGGTAATGCAATGTAATGCATCCTGGAATCTATCTTCGAACAGGCCACACTGGCATTGACCGTCTTAGAAGGCCGTGAGACCTTCCTCGCCTAGGCTCCCGCAACAAAGCAAGCGAGACATTGCTCGGCATGAGATTGCTGCATCTGTGGGCCGTCGCAGGCAGTAGGAGTGTAGCAGGAGACAGTCCAGTGGTCGCAGGACCATGGCCAAAACCTACGAGGGACTCGCAAGTCTCGCGCGAGAGACTGCGGATGCCACTGCCGCTGCCGCCGTGACTCGGAAGCGCTTTTCGAACAAGCCGATCTAGGTGTTTCACTGCGTATTTTGCGAGGTAATGGTCGGGGACGCGCAAAAGAATGCCCATGTGCTAAAGGAGATCCTTGAGAAGCTGCAGTGCAAGGCCGAAGCAGCCGAGTTCCTGTCGAAGCATAGCCTCACTAGCGTCAAATCAGGCGAAGGCAAAAAAAGAGAGCTCCAAAGACGAAGACGATGAGGCAAAAGACGCTGATACAAGCAGCTCCTTGGAGAGCACCGATGCTCTGTAGAAGCATGTTGGTAATTTCCTTGGCCATGTCTTACCAAGGCGATGAGGAAGGCGCCGAAACCACAGAGGAACATTCGATTGTGGCTTTGGCACGTTCACCAGGCGGACTGGAGTCTTGCAGCGGTGGTTGCGCACTGGCAGGACCGAGCATGCTCAAACAGAAGGCTGCTCCTCAAGCTGAACACCGAGGCAAGGAACAGAAGCGCGACGCGTGCACTGAGAGCCGAGCTCGCAGCAGGTCTTGGACTTACAGAAGGAGATGAGGAATCTCATCTCCAGCAATCCATCCCTTATGCCAGAGGTCGGGGTGGCGCAGCTCCTCGGCATGAATCGGCATTATTTGCACAACGAAGCGGCCTAAACTGCCTACAAACGCAGTGTGGAAGACTGTTTACAACATGCCAATGAGGGCTCAGTTTCGGAAACTGATATCAGACATGCTGTGTAGCAGATGTCCTTGCAGCTCTGCCTTCCAGAGTTTGGCGGCAGGAAAGAGTGGATATTCCGCCTTGCAGCAGAACTCATTGAGCAGAGCCTTTGCAGCGACTCGTAGTCTTGCCGGGCTTCGCGATTCATGCTCTGTTCGATTCTGTTCCCGGCAAGGACGAAGTGGAAGTTCACGATGCTTGGGCTTCATGGTCAGCATGGCCCGTCCACTTGGGATGAAGCGATGCAGGACCTTGGGTGGACCGGCTGTCCGGAAGAGAAAACGATAGGCGACTCTAGCTGCCGGTAGGAGACGCTCTACGTGCTTCAAGCAGCTGCGCTCGAACTCAGTGTGGAGAAAGACCTCGCGCAGCACTAACGACATGAACACTGCAAGCTGAGGCCAATTGGGATGGCTTGGCCGCTCCATTGTTTGATGCTCGCATCCTCCGAGTTGCAGCACTGGTCGACGCGAATCTCTTATCCAAAATGCTCCAGGCACCGCATGTGAGGTAGGTCTCAGCGGCTAGTCCTGCAGCTCTTTGCCGTGCTGACAGGACGCGTTTCAGGTCTGCGAAGACTCGACCCCGCCCGGCTCAGCAGGTGCAGCTGCTGTGCTGGCCATTCCTGCATCACAAAGCTAAGCGATGAGTAGGCGATGCTGACGACCGACCAAGCCATGCCAGACAAAAGTATTCGGCGACTTGTCTGCGTCAATGTAAGTACAGATCCGCCGAAGGAAGGCATGAAGACATGAGGGCTTGCATGACTCAGCACCGCAGGAAGCCGTCAACCTTCTTTGCCGCCACGGAACAGCTGAAACGGTTGCAGTGGCATAGTCACCGACGAAACAAGGCGAACGATCCCAAAGTACCGCGGTTTGCTGTCACATGTTGCAGCCGCGCGCCCCTGTGCCTGGAATTTGTTAAAGGCATCGGGCCCGGGATGATGTCTGTCGCCTGGGTGCTACCAGCTTCTTTAGGCCGCATTCCTAGTGTATTCAGAATATCATAATACACACTCTTGGGCAGCACTGGTGGTCAAAGTATTCGCCCAAGCGTTGCCTAGCTAGGCGGCCTACAAAATAAAACTAGCCTGCTGCAATGGAGTGCCTGAAGCAAGGATCCATCGTCCCGGTTAGGCTCCGGGAACTTCCAGAAAGTTAGGCCCAAGCTCCGAGAGCTTCCTCTGGATGTACAGCGCAGAGGCAGAGGCTGGTAAGCTCAAGATCTTAGCGGTTGGGCGGAGAGGCTCGCCCACGAATTTTCTCATGGGCCCCTGCACTTAGATTCCTTCGCATGCTATGCATGTACCGAATTCCTTTGCCTCGGCAATGAAAAAATCCACCGTCTCGGGGCAACGGCTAACCTCTTCTGTGCAGCGTGAAAGCCGAGCCTGCACTCCCTCCTCGCCAACAGTTCAGCCATTGCCCAAGCCGATGTGCAGGAAGCTGAGGTTGACAGACAACGACCCCACTGTCACCAGCACCATCACCTCCGTTTACCAGCTCTTTCTTTGATTCAGCAGCCCTGCAGCTCTGCAAGCACAGTCGACAGCACAATTAGCTGCAGAGACCATGATCTCACATCATGCGAGCTTGGGCCTTGCGTGTGCAGAAAGCAGAAGGCTTCAATCAACGTGCCACATTGGGCTTCCTGAAATGATCAGGCTCTTTGTCATCTGTTTTCTTTGGCGACTTGCGACACCAGAACAGCCAGACTGAGGTGTACGGCAAGTCAATTTCGAGCAGTGCACCGAATCGGGCAGGCTCATTGTGCCTTCGCTTATCCTTCACTGATTGATGATGGTATGCTCTCCCCATAGTTGCAGTGTCACAGTCTGGCCCAAAGACTAGCAACCTGGCCAAGAGGGTCAGGAGTTGCAGGCCAGCGTAGAGTCGCAGAGGTCAGAGCGGCAGTTGGATGGAGCGCCCTTGTGGCCGAACCAAGGAGGAGGCCTTGTGAGCACAGCAGCATGGGCAAACGTCGTTTCATATCGTTTCACATAGTGTCATCGTAAAGATGCTCTGTGAATGCCTTGCAGCTCGGGATGCCTGTTTGTGTTGTCTCGACACAGGCGAACATCCATCGCACGCTGCAGGTAAGCATAGCGATCTCCGCACCTGGGACTACCATGCAAAATCAGCTGAGAAGCTGACTTGCCATCTTGTTGCAGTTGCCACTTCTGTTGGACCAGGGTTTGTCAAATGCATGAGCAGCGCAGGTAGGTGCAACGGAGGCAGGCAAAGTGGCCTGGTCGCGGTGGCTGAATGTCCCACAGCTGAACAGACAAAGCTTGGGGGCACCCAGTGGTACCCAGCTACCATTCCGTTGGCCGGAGCTTGCTGAGGATGGGTTCGGCTACTGGTGGGTCAGCTCCAGTGGGTTCTCATTTTTCCACAATGACGGCAACCGCCTGAGTTTGCACACCTGCGACTATTCAGATTTAAAGGTCGCAACAGAAGTGCACAACGGCCAAGGTGGTCATGGACAGATTATCGCAGTGAGCTGAGTCAGGGCCGTTCTGTACCTTTGTGGGACTTCGAAGTCAACGCCTTTTACTTCAGAGGAAGCGATGCTGTCGTTGACACTAGCCTTGGTGGTTCTGGACCTTGCCCTGGAAGTCAGCGCTCGGATGTTTGGGCTTCTCGCTGGAAATGTTGATTTCAGACAGCAGTGCACACGTGGTGAAGGTCGTCTGTCAGATTTCCCTGCTGAAGTCGGGCCTGCAATCGGCTGTTGCTCGTGTGCTCATGAGAATCAGGCGTCGGCTCACGCAGCAACTCAACTTAATTAACATTCCCATAGACTATGCTTCGCGATAGAGTTGTTTCAGAGGTCAGCCAAACATGATTGAGCCCCAACATCGCATGACCCGAGGTGGGCTCATGCTGGAATATGGCTGCTACTTTCGCTGCTGGGAGCCGCAGACCTTGCGCTGAACATCGGCGCCGGTGGTGCTCGGGTCTCGCTGCCTTTGGTCCTTTTCGCCATCACCGAGTGTGGCTACGTTTCTTGCACATGTGTGTCTAGAATAATGAGAAGCTGTTGGTATCACAAACCGCATCACATGCAACAGAATCGTCTTGCCGCCCAGAATGAACAATAAGCAAATGCAGAAGAGCCAGGCTTCCAAGCGCTGAGTCTCAGACTCCAAGGCGAAGCCTGCTTGACCAACTTGCATTCCACACCGCAGGTACCGCTCAAATATAAGGGCTTCATTGTCGTTTCCCGTGCACCTGTGCACCCTCTAGTCTTCTCTACCAAAGTGACACAAAGCTTGCTGCCGAGGTTTTCCGAATGGTCCTTCCCTGGTTACACTTCGTGTTAGCAAGCTTGGCGCTGATGATCCTCTTGGTGGTCCTGCTTCTGCCAGTCTTGATGCGCTTGACCCGTGCAGCCCCGGAATGCCGTGTTCCATGGGCGTGCAAGCTGGCGCTCGGCGTGTACTGCGGCGCCTTGAAAGGAAACATCACGTCTTGGCGGCTCTTAGACGGTGAACGAAGCCATGTTAAAAGCCGTTCAGCCGAGGCGGTGCTTTGTGGAGATGCCGCTCCGCTTCTCAGGGCGTGGGCGCCGATCTCTTGAGCCAGCTCTCCAGTGATGCCTTGGCCATGTTGACGGGAACCCTCCTGCCCGTGGACTCCCGGGAGGCACTGTTACTGTTCGCCTCATGTTTCAGCTACTGGTACCGGGCAGCGCAACGCCACAACGTGACAGGTGCTCGCCTCCCATGGAACTACGTTTAGTGTCTTCGAATGCATAGGCAGAGTCTATCAGCATGGTCGCGCTCAGTGGAGTGAGCTCTGTCTTAGGCACGGCTACTACGTTCTTTCCTCCAATACTCTTGTTTCACTGGGAAGCTGGCGCAGACATTCTCCTGGATCGTTCAAACGCCAGCGCGACGCCTTACCTTCGGAGGCTAGTGCAGAGGCCCTGCCATGCCGACAATGCTTAATGACTTAATGCTTGAAGCATGTTGTGGTCTGGTCTAAAGTTTCTAAAGTGTGTGGTCTCACAACTCGTAGTCTCCATCGCGAGAGGTCTCATCGCACGTGTTCCGATCGGGACAGCAAATAATCATCCGGACAGCGCCCAAAACCAAGCATGTGAAGCCGAGTGGTGTGATGCAAGAGGCAACAGGATCACCAGCAGATTCTAAGCGTGCACCGCTGTGACGGCACGCAATACTCAGAGCTGCAGCTCAGGCCTCGGCCGATTCGTGTGTGTTTCCTTTCCAGGCCCACAGTTGCAGGTCAGCCAATGCACACACCAAGCATCAGCGAACACGTTCAAAGGCTACCCTTTTGATCGCGGGGGGACAGAAGCTCATGAGTACCAAGCCTGCGCTGTTGTGTGTTTTTTTTGAAGTGCTGTGCATGCGTCCTGTGGGAGGCCGGACGTTTTCTCGGGGAGTGCCATCGCTGGAGTCCCTGTGACGCTGAAGACAGCGTGGGAGGCCAGGACTGGCCAGCATGCGCCGAGTGTGAGCGGTAAGCTGAAGACACGTGCTTGGCTTGCCCCTGCGCTGAACCGCTTCGTGCTGAACACGGTGTGCTGTCGTCGTTGAAGGTTCTTTGTGGGCTGCCAGCATCTTCCACTGCCGATTTTCGTGAGCAAGGATCTGGGTTGAGGCACGGTGCCACCTGCCGAAGTACCTGGACTTGAGATGCCCCGGCCCGACGTGTTGTTAGCAATCGCTCTTGCAGGCTTTGTCGGTTCAAAAGTGCGAGCAATAGGCTCGCCTGACTTCCGCCATGGCCTCGCTGGTAAGCTTCGATGAGATGAACCCGAAAGCAGTGATCGCCTCACCGAGGTCACTTCAAGCCTGTAAGCAGGAGGGTGTCCTACCACAAGAGTTGGTTTTCAAGCCCTTCGAGGCTTTCCAAGACAGGAACCTCTCTCCGAGGCTGCAGAAGCTTCGTTTCGACTTCTTTGAAGCCAAGAGGCGCGATCTCCTCGCGGCAGCGCGGAGAGCCCGTGATTCCATTATGTCCGACGAGCACAGGGAGAAAGAGAGTAGCAACCAACAGCTGGCGCTTGTCGCCAAGGAAAGTGGGCTTTCGAAAGGCGCTATCCTGGCTTTGAACAGCGACACCTTGAAGCTTGAACGCCAGAAGTTGCTTCGAGCTCAGGAGACCGAAAGAAGTTGGCTGAAGAGCGCCTTGAACAGCGAACTGCATCAGCTCAAGCAGCTTGAGTCCGCGAACCAGACGCTCTCCGCCGAAGCAGAGGATCGACTGGACAAGATAAGAGAGCAGTCCCGCAAGATGAAAGAGATGAATGACAAGAGAGCGGAGATGGAGGAACGCAAGCAGATGGAAATGGAAGCCAGGCAAAAGTTGGAGAAGCAACTTGCCAAAGAAGAGTTTCACAAGCAGCAGCTCGAGTTGCAGAACAAGCAGAAGGAAGACGCGAAAAGGCTCAAGGAAGCCTACGAACGGCAAGTGAGAGATGCCGAGCGCAAGCGGCAGATAGAAAGAGAGAAGGCAGAGAAACGTGAGCAAGAGGCTCGGGACTTGCAGGCCCGGAAAGAGGAAATGCGGGCACAAGATCAAAGGAGAATCGATCTTATGGCGCAGAAGCAGGAAGCCTTCCGTGAGCTTTTGCGGGATCGCAAGGATGCCCGTGATATGAAAATCTACAACAGCATTCAAGCCAATCAAGACCTTGAGCACAAGAGGCGTGAAGATTTCGAACGGAAGCAGTCCGAGGAGATGGAACGAGAGGAGCGGCTGATGCAAGCTTTGGCGCTGAAGCAAGAGGAAAGTGCGAAAAGGTCGTTTCAGACGATGATGCGGCGGAAAGTTATTCAGGAAGAGGCGACAAGGAAGGCCGAGGAGCGTCGCGGTGCCATCCTCGACCAGCAAGAAGAGACGGAGTATCGCTTGATGGAGCACGATGCAAAGAAGGAGCGATACTTGGACTTCAAGCGTGAGTTGGATGCCCTCAGGGCCAAGAACAAAGACATCAACGTCGAGCGCCAGCGGAGGCGTGAAGATGCAGAGCGTGAGGCAATCGCTGAAGCTGTCAAGAAGAAGGATGAGAAGATCGATCACATGCATGCAGAGCGGCACAGGATGTGGGAGTTGAGACGCGCTGCCCAGGCAGAGGCATACAAAGCTAGAGCACAGGTGAAGGACGAGATACTGAGGCAGCGCATCGCATCGAAGTTTGACTCAAAGAAGCTGGAGGTCAAGCTCGAGTCCGTCATGCAGAGCGACCTGTTCAGCGCCAAGGTTCTCCAATCGAGTCACTCCGTGCCATCGATGATGGGTTCCCACCCTGCCAGCCGCTGATGCTGCGAGCAGTAGCCTTCGTGGAAGGTCTTGGCTTGGCTGGCAGTGCAACGGGCTAATCGGTCAGCACTTGCCTTGTACAGAAGCTGAAGCCGGAGGCAATGTAGTCACCGTTCGGTGGGCTTAAGGTTGCTAGCCGATGGTGTTCGGACTCTTTACTATTAGGATTTCTGCTGCTGCAAGCTTGCAGTGCACTTGTCAATTCAATCTGCGCATGAATGTACAAAGGAAATACAGCATGTCAGCAAACACTGTAGAGGTAGTCTCACCACAAGGATACACAATGCGACAACGCTGCATGTCAACAGATGTGAAAATGCGCAAAGCTGTCTGATACAGTCCATCGCGATGCCCATGCAGGGCGTGCTTTGATGTTGTGCTTGCAGGCAAGAGTGTCTTCCTCGAGCACTGAAGCGTTGCTGCGGTTACCGATCCGTGCTCGCGAAGATGGACACTGAACTACCAGACCTGCCTCGTCGCGTTTTTGGCTTCGAGGCCATTCTGACCCAAACCTGTAGTGCTTGCAGCCTGCAGTTGTTCGGCCAAATATTTCACTTTGATTTAACTGATCGTGTTGCAATCTGTGTCTACCGCTTGACAAGTCTGCGAGCTTCGAGGAGACGATTGTGGCTGAAGATGAGCATGGCCTTTTAGAGAAGCTTCGGCAGCTGCTTGCCTCATGGCGTGCGCTGAATGCTAGCTCGCCGGCGTTCGTGTATTTCTACGGAGGGGACGCTCATCCCCCATACTACGCGAACCGTGTGGAGACTTCAGAAAGAGGATTTGCGGTCGAAGAGCTGATGGATGTGTTTTTAGCACTGAATCGGAGAACCGATGCTGTTGCGAAGCGGCTGTCGGAGTTCTGGCCTCCTCCGAGAAAGGCTTCGAGTCGCTGGCAGAAAGAGAACGGCTTGGCATTTACTTTTGGAGACCACGGCGAGCAGCTGAGTGGTGCCGACCCGCCTCCGCATGGAAATCTGGTCTCGCCGGATGTGTCGCGCACCATGATGGCCTTCGAAGCCAGATCATTCGCTTCCCGCGTCGCCTCGCCAGGCCTTTTCCGCATGGCAGACGTTTACGCAACCATTGCCGACCTTGTCGGCCTGGAACTGAAAGGCAAGCTATTTGTTGGAACCAGTCTGTTTGGAAAGCTTGAAGCGCAGAGCCAATCCAGACGGTTTGGTGTTGCTTCGTTCTCCTTCTACCGGCCAGGAGCTTGCAGCACTCGACTTCGGATTGGTAACCGGGGCGCGGTTCATTTGTTGGGGATGCCGGCTTCAGAACTGAAGGCTTTGATTGATGGAAGTCCTTCAACCCTATAGGCGCGCAAGCCGAGTAAACCCTCTGAGCCTCCGACTCTTCTTTTCCGACTGGAAGCCAAGCCCGAGATCATGTGTAGCCTGCCCGTCGCCCACCGGACCGATGGTTCTACCCAAGCCGGTCGGCAAAGCTGCAGATGGGTGGGTCACTTGCTAGGAGACCTCGCTGCTGCTCACTTCCGTGCCTCGGATGGCCAGATATGTGCTGCGGAGTTCCACCGCGGATCGCAAGGCTGGAAACTGTTCAAGGCCGCTTTGCACCAAAAATCTGCCAAGTCTGACGCAATCCGATATAAACGCTTCTGGCCGAAGGCAGACTCTTTGCAAGATCTCTTCGGGAGCGGAAAGAGCCTTTCATCCGTGGAGGCTGGCAAGCAAAACTGGTGGTTGGCTTGCAACTGTCGAAGCTGTTTAGTACCCTTCTCAAACCTTTGCAGGGTAGGTGGGGGAGTCAGGACTGGTAAGATTTGCAGCCAAGTCCCGTCTCCTTGCAACAGTGCGGCTCCGCTGGAGCTTCACGGCACCAGTGGGAGGAGGGCAGGAAGTTCACGCCTGCCAGGCCGACCCAAGCAGCACGTGTGCCAATGAATCCATGGCTGCGCTGAGCTGGGCGTTAAAGCAGCGGCAGGCCATGAACACATTGCTGACCGCAGTCTTGCCGCAATTTACACAGCATGCCTGTGATCTGGAAGCCGTGTACTTTTAACGACATCTCAGGGAGTTTCTTGTAGGATGCTGCAGCTGCTGATAGCTAAGGAGTCGAACGTGCATGCGGCGTGGCTCCTAGCTTCCGTCAGGGCAGCAGTGTCACGGGACTCTTGGCAGCAATGGTTGGGCAATGGGATCGGATCGGTGGCTGGGGCAGCGGCTACATACTCGTTCAAAGCACGATTCGAGTCCCGCCGTGGTTCAAGCACTGCGATTCAAGCACACGCAATTGAAGCAGTTGAGACTTTTGGGCTTTTCTGGCTTCTGGCCTTGAGCGATTGTGTGCTTCTGGGTTATTGGGTTTGGCTGGGTTTCTTCGGGCTTGGCTTAGGGCCTTGGGCCGGGCACTGAGCGAAGTTTCTGGTGCGCGAATCCGGTGCACGCATGTTGTGGATTGCGGCTCTTGCTGTTGCTATATGTGTACTGCCGTTGTTCCTGGAATGTTCATAAAGGTTGTTAACGCATGTGTGACTTGCTGAGTCAGGCCGCAGCTATGGCGAGATGGCTTCTAAAGAGAATGCTGCGACCGTTCCTACCTCCACCCGTGGCGAAGCTGATTTCATGAAGGATGCACGCACCCTGGACACCGGCCACATCTAAGGCTACCCCCAATTGCTCGAGCGGGAAGCCTGCTCATGACGGTACAAAGGACGAGTTTTAGTCCTCCGGCTTGCTCGCATCGCTCGGGTTACCGAGCTGATCTCTTTGTAGAGTTCAACAGTCTACAAGGAGTTATCCCGGCACTTCAGGCACTGAAAGATGTGCTTGTGTGCCTTGTTGCGATTTCTGGCATGCTGGCCTCTGGCCGACAGCGGGTGATAATACCTCCAGGTTAGCAGTGCGCCGGTATTAGGCTTGAAATCTGTGGCATTGTGGGTGACTGCGAGAAGGCAGCTCTGTACAGTGTTCCTTGGACCTGAAATTGCGTTTCTTCGGTTTGCAGAGCGCTGTTTCAGTTCTGCCGCACCGCGCGTTGCCGATGTTAAAAGATCTTCCACCTGTTGAAGCTGGCGAGGGGAGGGAGGGAGAGCGACGGAGAGGGATGCAGACTTGACCTGAGCCTCGTGTTGGCGAGCATCAGACTGAAGTTCTGTTGTGAACCAGCACGAGAGCCAACACTCCGAGGGCGCACGGGAAGGTCCGCAAAGGGAAAGACAGACAGACAGGTTTGCGAGCGGCGCCCTCCGTGCCCGTGTGGCGCTGAGCCTCGAATCCTGAGAAGGGCCGGGCCGAATCTGCCGGGCGCTCCGAGACAAGCAATTCTCGCAGGTGGCAGGGCGTTTGGAGCGCTTGCAGAGGTGCTTCAGCATTGCTAAGTAACCCATGCCGCATGTCTTTGTGTCGTGCCACTCGGAAGAGGCATCGAGAGAACATTCGCCGCATCTACCGTGAACTCAATGCAGATCGGCAGACTCCTTACCGCCAATTGTGCTTCTTTGTTGTCTGACCGCGATATGCGCGGGTATAGTGCCAGTTGCAGAGTGATGCATGGGGGGATAGGGATCAAGAAATCAAACGGGGATCAAACACATAGAATAGGGATCACAAACAATCGAACAGGGATCAACAATTCAAGCCAGACATGCTGTAACTTAGAGTATTTGCAGCTCGTGAACACTCACCAAGTGGTATTTCTCTCTCAACAAGGAAGGAAGGGAAGGAAGGAACTCCGACGACGATTGCTACTGTTTGAGCTGCTACTACTGACTACCACTAAAGAGTACCGACATGTTGATCTTTTGATGTTGTTGTTTTCTATTGTGGCCTTCGATCACAGATTTCGATCCGTTGATCCCTATTCGATTGTGTTGATCCCTCAGCCGCGCTCTCAGCCGCCATATGCTCGAGAAGTTGGTGTTCGGAGTGGGAAAAAGCCTGAGCTGCAAAACGCCGCTCCCAAGAGCATTGCAAACCTCCAGAACCCTTGGAAGACAGCTGGACGACTATATTATGAATGGCTGGGCTGACTGATGTAAGACGGGTCCAAGGCGAATCCATCCCCTGGTTGGTCCAGCTTGCCTAGTGTGCACGTTGGACGGTCCGCTCTGAAGGGGAGGAGGGCAGTTCAGGGTAGCACGAGACCGACCCAGTGGTTGCGATTGCAATCATGGACGGTGATGCTTCGTGGCAGAGAAGGGCCACAAGCTTGTTGTGAAGTATGATGGTGTGTATATGTGTGTCTCTGTGCGTGTCTCCCTGTGTATGTTGTGAGCGTTCGAGTGCACGTGTGGCTTCATTCGTTGCTGGGTAGCGGGCAGAAGTGGCACACTGTTGAGTGGTCTCACGCTGCGAGGCTTCTGCGTGTCGCGTATGCAAATGGAAGATGACGACAGAAATTGCAGGAGTCGAGCACCGAAAGGAGAGTTGAACCACACCGCAAGTTTGGATGAAGGCCTCAGGTTTTTGCCGAGAAGTTGTCACCGTGCATGCTGCCTACCAGACCTGGGCAATGCCTCCTCAAGACACTTTCCTGTCTGCAGCATCTGTTCGAACTTATGGCGTTTACTTAGATGGACGGTGAGGCAGCAGGCGTGTTCGGCATCGGCATGCGCGGCATCGTGAGGTCTGACGCTACAGAAAGCATCGAGGTGGAGAAAGAGGCTACGACGGCTGGAGTGTTCGTACCTCGGATCTGCCTCAGATGAGCCTCTGCTGCCTTTGCTGATTTAGCTTGAGCTGATGTTCCCAGTGTCAGTCTGTTAGTCTGCTGTCATGGTATGGTTTCGAAACTACCGTCTGGAGCATCAACGAGGTTCAATCAGTGCCTTTTGTGGGTAGCACTCCAGAAAGACGTTCATTCAACACGGCTTGGGTGAAGCAAGGCACCACTAAGCCGATCACTGCAAACTTTTATGCTACATGGGCTTCTGCAGGCGTGGGCTTGCGCCCTTTGATCATCAATAGCCCATGTCTAAGGTTTTTACGTGCAAGTCATGGTGTCTATGTTTGTTGTGGTGCCGGTTGAAATCGTAGCGTGTGACCGGGCGAGGTGAGGCATATATCATAAATCTCATATATGGCATGGTATGCATCACTGCGCAGCGTCGCTTGCAGGGCCATGCCACGAGATTCAGATGTTGAGCCCCTCGATTTTTTGGTTTCAGCGGAACGGACATGGTCGGACCATGATGGTCCTGCGTCGTGCGTAGAAAGTCTAGCGCTTTTTGGGCCTGGCCCAGGCCTTTGCCAAGTGCGTGTGGTCAGAAGAACCAGATTCCAACTCCAGGCCTCAACGGGGATCCGTGGCATAGACTGAGAACGTGTGCTCGCTTCGCAGGGCGGGCATCTCCGACAGGACACCCCGGTGAGTTTCCAAAGTCAGGAGACGGACCCCGTGGCATTCAAGACTCGGAGAAGTGCTGATGACACATGCCTCGTTGTTCAGGGGACGGTCGAAATTGGGCGAGCGCAACTGAGAAGTCGGAGAGGCTGGGGAGCGCCCGGACGCAGGGCAAGGCATGGCAACTGGACGATCCCCCCTCCGCTTGAGCGGAGGTCTTCAGAGAGGGAGGAGTTCCCCTTGCCGAAGCCTCGGCCTCGATACGATGCTACTTGCGGCTGTGTTTTGTTCGAGGCCGAGGTCGCCGGAACCGTCTGCAAACGACCCGGTTAGCCAGGACGCGATGTCTGAAAACCGGGACATGTGCACGTGCTCACGTCGGCTGCAGGAAATTCTGGAGGCGCTGCAGCATTACGAGCCTCCACGGCCAGGGGTGCCCTTCCACAGACTTGGCAAAAAAAGCATGTTGTCAATGCCGCGATGTACAGAGTGGCCTTGAGGTTGCAGCTGGTGAGGGAGATGCACAAGCCAGCAGCGTGCGACCAACTAGTGTCTGGATCGCAACTACTAACTACTGCGGCTTGCCTTCCGTAATGTGATTTGTGAGAAGGTCCGATGCCGCCGGCGGATTTGGAGCACGATGCCTAAATGTGTTAGCGGTGATTCACAAGCCGAGTCCACAACCACAGTAACCAACTGGTTCCTTTGGATTTGTGTGTGCTTCGAAATTTGGCTCTGCAGTCACGCATTCTTATATGTAGCTGTGGTCAATGACGCAAGCCGCGATATGCTTTGCTAGCGGCTGACGCTCCAGCCCGGCCTGCACGGGGCACCTTGACTGCTCCAGGGGTGTGAAGCCCACTGGACAGGCCTGTGGTGACTTAATGACTGTCCTTCCAGGCAGACTTTCAGATGGGCGGGATGCGGCAACCTATTTCCATATATTGTTGCGCCAAATTCACCGTGGCGGCAGAGTCTCAGCAGCATGCCAGCGCTCGAAGCGCAAGGAGTGAGAGCTGACAGATGAGCTTCTGCAAAGCTGTGCGGCCGTCCAAGGTGATTACTCTATTATGCATGCTTGGTACCGTCTTCTGGGCTTCACACGGCGGTTCTGAGAGTGCACGGCCGCCGTCGTGCTTTGGCTAGATGCCCGCTCAAGGACTAGGTTCCCCAGTAGTACCCTTTTTCCCTTTTTCTTTGTGGGTTCCCTTATTTTTAAAACCAAATAGTAGGAAAAAGGGTACCCTTATTATTAAGGGGCTACTGGGGAACCTGGAGGATGTGCTGGATGGCTGACATGGAGCTTCCTGTGCTCAGGTTTCTGCAGATGACGTCCTCCAGGCCACACCAAAATGCTGCTCTCTGTTCTGCTCTGCATCATGTAGCCGTGTTTGCAGGATGCGATCCTGGGGGAAGCATGAGCGTCGGAAGGCAGTCGGCTCATGGCCTGCAGAGCTTTCTGGAGACGAGTGAAGTGTCGCAAGGAGAATGAGAACCCGTGCCCAGCAGAGTTGCGCAGCAGACATAGCGACTGCTTCTTGGCACCACCTGTAGCGGGACCCCTGACGGCGCAAGTGAGCTTGGCAAAAAGTGGTGAGGCCGAGTGGTCAAAGTGCGGCAGACGTTTCAGTTGGGCAAGTCCATCAGGCCGGCTAGGCTAGGAGTGAGGCTCTGCGGTACGTCGCAAGTACACCATTCTGTCAGGACGAGAAAGGACACAGTGATCGTTTGGAGTGCCACCCGTCGTCAGCAGACACGATGCAAAAAAGCAGTGCTTTTGTCCGTCGCACTCAGGCAGTGGACCCAGAATTGGCGTCAGCAACCTGCCTGCAGCTGCAGGGAACGAGAGCGCCGCAACATGTTTCCAGTGGCCCTTGCAGCCTTGGACCCATTGGGAGCCCTTTCGGGCCTTAGGTCAAAGACAGCATCATTGGGTTCAAGCCTGCGATGGTGGATGTGAAGTCTCGCTGCCCCGGCGAATCCGAATCCAACATGCAGGCGCTGTTGTGCGCCAAACTCACTCGCCAATCCAATAGATCCCATCAGGATCGGAGATGAGAGTGCGTCCGCGAGGGACGGTGACTAGGACTGAACGTAAAGAGGAAGAAAATTCGCGAGGGGCGGGTGGGAGTGAGGAAGCGAAAAAGGGGGAGGCAGGAAGGGAGGCCCTTCGATGCGCTCGACTTCACCTGCAGCAGTCTTACAGCCGGACTCTGGTTCGCATCCCTCTTTTCTGCTGGCGCACAGCCAAGCGGGGGAATCACACTCAAGTGCCACCATGGAGGTCAATCTGGTGCACCACATCAACATATACGCCTATGACGCCGCGATGCCGCTGACAATCGTGGCGGGCTAAAGAGTTCTCTTCCGTTCCACGGACTGTCTGTGATACGCACAGTCGGAGAGCCGCTGTTGCCGAGGGGCAACCCTATGTCTTCGATGGTGCGTCGGAGCCGGTGCTTCCACCAAAGCTGGAAGAACAGTCCATGCGCATGCTAGCGTCCCACGACAAGGACGCTTGGAGAGCAAAGCATATGTTGTAATGGTGCCGACATATGTTTCCTTTCTTTGGCATCATCGTGATGCGAACTCATGCAGACGGCGAGGAAGCTGGGGACTACTTCCTGCCAAGCGGATATGGCATCCCTTTCGGTAAGCAGAGCCGCAGCAGCAAAGACATGCAATCCGTATCTGGTTGTTCGTGTCTTGGGCAGGCAGGCAGGCAGGCAGGCA